TTACCCAGATATTGCTGCAAAAGCTATGACTCCCCCAGCAACATGTGAAAAAGAGAAATTTAGGATTTCATGGGATAGGAGAGTGTGCTAATGTTGGAAGGATTTTGTGCTGCAGAGGTGTCAAGCTGAAGGAAGAGTGAGTTAGCTACTCCTGAGATTAATTTAGAAGACCTCTTCTAGGCAGTGTTTGTATGTCTAGTTTCTTGTGGGGGCAGAGTTGTTTATGCTTAGAAAGAAAAGCAGAATTTTGAAATTACCATAAACTTATCTCTGAAGGCACACAATATATTTCTTGAAAAAGCACACCTAATGTAATGCTGATTTAAAATATCAGTGTTCTAGAAACCTGAGTTGCTATTTCTCCATGCTAAAAATGAATCTTGTGGTTTCTTTGTCTCACCAGAATTAAAATCAAACTAACATTAAGGTCTATTTTAGAATTATGAAAAGCCATCCTGGCCCTCTTGACCTCCACTTTCTCAGCTAGTAATGTCTGATTATTCTGTCCATCGAAGCTTGCTGTCACACCTAAGCCCTGAGCTAAGAACTATTCTGTGTTCAGCGAGTCCAGATCTTCATGGTTTAGTATCTGTTGGATATTTGGAGTTAATGTTAACTCTGGTCACTTTCATTAACCCTCATATTTAACTGGGATGAGCTTTCATTTTATTTATTAACTCGTTTTACAGAACACTGCACGCAGATCCTCAGTGTTTGCTTAGGTTGCCAAGCGCACTGTTGTATGGCATTGTGAGAATCCCATGCAGTGAAAAACATCTGTTCATTGGGCTGTAAAAAATGTATTTCCACCAATGTGGATATTCAGAACACTTAACACTCTGAGCCTGATTTTATTTTATTTTACTGAGGCAAACCTATGGATCACCTACGTAATTGACTAGTTTTGAATATGTAATTTTGTCTTTACATATCATGTCCACCTTACTAAATATTGAAAAATCAACCTGGAAAATGTTGATGCTTTAAAAAAAATCATACTTAAATATTCAAGGGAGGAGGCATAATCTGTAAAGGAAATAAAAGGCACTTTAAGAAATGTAGGGCTACCCTTGGGTGCATTGCTGATGGGAGTGGAAAATGGTACAGCCACCATAGGAAATGGTTTGGCAGATGCTCAAAAAATTGAAGAGTTATCATATGATCCAGCAGTTTCACTTTAAGTATATACTCAAAATTGAAAGTGGGGACTCAGATAGATACTTGTACAACCCATACTCACAGCAGTATTATTCACAACAGACAAAAGGTGGAAATAGTCAAATGTATATCAACAGAAGAATGGATAAACAAAATGTGGTTTATAAACACAATGAAATGTTATTCAGCCTTAAAGACATTCTGATACATCTTGGAATCTGGATGAACCTTGAAAACGTGCTAAGTGAAGTAAGCCAGACACAAAAGGACAGATACTATGTGACAGCACTTACATGAGAATAGAGAAATTTATAGACACAGAAAGCAGAGTAGAAGTTGGCAAGGGCTGGGAGAAGCTGAATGAGGAGTTGCTGTTTAATGGGTACATAGTTTCTGTTGGGGATGGTGAAAAGGTTCTGGAAATGGAGGGTGGTGACAGTCTACAACATTATGCACGGACTTGACACAACTAAATCATACACTTAAAAATGGTTTAAGATGGCAAATTTTATGAAAAAGGAATGAGGGTTAAAAGGTCTTGCACTCATTTTCAAATCTTGTAGTATTTGGTCCTGTTTTTCTACCTTTTTCATAGTTGCCTCATTTCACACAGAGAACTTCTTAGCGTGGGCTCTATGCTTTAAGTACCCTGGTAGATGTGGCTAGGTCAGAATCCGCTGGTTTTACTACAAGTAGGCTTGCTTTTTATTACATTTGTTAAAAATTGTGAGGCGGGGGGAGGTAGTTTAAAGTGGAAAAACTATGCATGTTGGACTTCCCATCCAGCACAGAAACGTGCTTTTGTGGCAAACCGAAAGGCTAGGAATCAAAGGTGATGAAATACAGGCCTTCCGGCCCTCACTCTGTTCCCAATTTCTTGTTGTGGGAATCTGTTCTGAATCCAACTGCAAGTGCAAAACCCATCTTTGAGCAGCCAGGGAGGCCCTTCTGCCAATCCCCAAAATGTCCTGCTGAAACTTTGGCCCTGGGAAGTAGGAGCTGAGGCTGTCTTCCCAAGATCTGTGCAGCTGTCAAGGTGACTGTGATGGGACTGTGACCGGCCTCTGCACTGCATTTTGGCAGTGACCTTGAGACCTGCTACCTCACAGCAGATGTTATGGTTCTAGCTCTCTGGCCACTGTTACACGACCTGGGGGCTAAAGAGAGGGAGCTAAACTCTGCTGTTCCCAGGGTCTGGCAAGTTCCAGCTATGGTGCCTGGTTCTCCCAGTGCCTACCTTTCACTGGGCTTGGGGACAGTCCAGGTGTGCGAACGTGGGTAGCTGCTTTTTCCACCTCTGGCTCAGATCCCAATTCCCTGGGAACTCGGTGGCTGTCTAATCATCAGCCTGGTGCCCAGACAGGCTCCACGTGGGGACCTGCTTGGCAGCTTTGTGGAGAGATGCTTAATGACAGGTGGTGATCCTGGGAAACAAGGGAGGGTGCCTCTTTTGTCCCAAAGGTAAGTATGAGCTGGCATTTTGGAAGGGAAGCGTTTCCTCGGGAAATGAAGGTCACCACACGCATTCTGAGCAAGAGAGAGAAATCTTTTCTCTACAGCCACTCAGTGTGGCAAGTGTATTTTGAAAACTCCTCCCCCTCTTCTTGTCCCATCCTGTCCTTTTCCTTTTAAGTGGCTTTATTATTATTTTTTAATCCGCCTTTGTCATTGGACGTTTATTGACAGAAATCAAATTGCTGTGTTTCTGGGCAAAGCGCCTGCTGCAAAGAGGTGTGGTTCCCAAGGAATGAGACACGCAGCCCAACAGCTGAGCCTACACTGTCCTCACATAACCTCCCTGCCTTAAATATCGCCAATATTTAGCCTTGCCTTATAAAGTAAAAATGCACAATACCTTCCAGAGTTTCAGCAAGCCCAAATGCCCCCCTCGGCTCAGTTATATCTCCTGTACGTTGGCGGCAGGGCCGCGCACTCCTCCCCCCGGGTAGACCTGCCCGGGGAGCCGCCAAGAGGTTACTAATAAGGGAGACTCTTGCCATCGGATCGATGGCGGAGACCTGGGGGATTTGTGTGCATTGTTTTTGCTGAAGCCTCCTGTGATTTCGGCGCGACCAGATCCTCTGCAGCGAACTCCATGTCGCAGCTTGTGGCTGCCTGTGTCCTGTGGTGAGAGCGGAGCCGCACAGGAGATCCTTTGTCTAGGAAGGCTAGGCAGAGAAGATCACTTTGGAGTTGCTAAGCTCTGCACTGCCATTGGCTGCACTCTTTGTGGGGCTGTTTTTGCAAAAGGCATGCCCAGCACGTCTACAGTGCTGGCAGGCCAGGGCTGCCTTTAAACACCATGATAATAATACCAAAAAGCAGTTTGCAGAACTGTTCCACTGTAGAGGCTTCCTCTGCAGAAGCAAGCAAGATGGCTACCTCGTGGGTTTCGCTGTGAAGAATGCAGAGGCTAATTAAGACAGACTTTAAGGGGAAAAAAGGGTATTTCCCTACTTCATCTTTATGCAAGGCTTTTTTTCAGTGACTTTTGAAGTATACATTTTACATAAGCTCTTTAGGTTGTGCCTAGCAGACATGTGGATGATTTTAAATGGTATAAGTAGTTTTATAGAGAAATAGCCAAAAAATTTTGGGTGGGGGGAGCTTTTTTTTCCCCTTAAACGGAAGCTCATTTTGCAATTTGATTTTTTTTTTTTTTTAGGTTATAAAGGAAAACAAGAGGCCCCAGAGGGAAAAGAAGCCCAAAGTTTTAAAGGTAATCAGCTATTGATTAAATCATATTTAATTTTTTCCCATTTCATATAGTTTTTTTCTGTCACATAGAGGTAAATTTGGAGTGCAGTGTTATTAATTCTCCTGGATTTTCAGTAGATAAATGAATTTTCACTCAACTAAAGTATTTTCTCTTTTGATGTGCTGTGTAATGTGCATATTAGCATCCTTTATTTTCCACTCCACACAATCTCCAGAAGGAAAAGTTTATATACAAAGTGTTGTGAATAAAATTTGTTTTTCTTTGTAGCTCCCTTTTTAGCATTTGCATTTGTGGTGTTGCACCAGTGTGTAAACTTAAGCTCTGAAGGAGAAAGACACTATTTGAAGTTGACAGCTATGATCCATTGTGATTTTAATACATCTCCCATTGGATACTGTTTTAAAATGGGTGAATTTTCTTTTCAAAAGAAGAGGTCCTTAGATGTTTTAGTTCAATTTAAAATGTGTAAGCCATTGAGATCTAATAGCCAAACTATAACTGCTTAACTCCAAATTCTCATTATATCATCTGTAACTTAGGCAGTCATAGAGCTGTAGGAATATACATGTTTTCTCTATTTTCAGTTTGCCTAATGAGTATTTAGTGGCAACCTAATTCGGTTATAAGCTAGCAATCTGTGTTACCAGCTTAGTAAGGTATTTAGAAGGGTTAATTTAAAAGCATATGGCATTACTAAAAGTTCAAACTAGCTTCAGTCTAGCAAACAGATGCGTGTATGTTAAAGGTTTTAAGTGGCATATTGCTATTATAAATGTAAGCATCCTGAGCAAGCAACCTTATTAATTCAAGAAGACATATTAAGCAATAAAACTACTGGTCTTTAAAATTATATCGTGTATATATATTTAAAATATTTTAACCCAATCTTAGCTTTTCTTTTGCAAATAAACTTTTAGCACTCAGAGGAACAACATGTTGAACTATGAATGTGGCAAATCTTTATCTCATTTGTTTCCCCAATTGTATACCATGAAAATGTTATTGACATAGAGAACCAAGCCTTGCATTGTTTTCTAATTTGTCTGACCACTTCGAGTTTCTGTTTCCTGTATGTATACGGCATTGCCATGTACACTTTTCATGAATTAACAAGTATTTATCTAATATTTACCACACAGTCATCAGTGTGCAAGGCAACTGTGAAATGAATGAAGTTACTTGGCACAAATTTTCACTGGGCCTGGAGAAATAGAACACAGGTTATTTTCAGGGTAAATTACACCTTGAAATTTCTTCTGTATATTGATCCACCCATCCCCTTTTACTCTCTTCCCCTCCCCCAACCTACAGAAATATTTCATTAAAAGCCCTGCTTTTATAAATGTCTTTTTACACTTTCTGTGTTGGCAATATCTATCTGAGGTGTTGTGTCTTAAAACCTTCTGGTGAGAAATAAGTTCTGGTCATGTTGTTAGAAATGGCTCTCAGATTTGTAGGGGGCATGAATGAAGGCATAGGCTAAAGGATAGACTATGTGGACAAACTAATATAGACTAAGCCTGGTAGCCAATTCATTACACACTTTTGCTAGATAGAATTGGGCTTTGGGAATCCTATTTAATTCTGTTTGTTTTGTTAGTCTGTGGGTGTCTATCACCTGAAATAAATTCCAGAAATAAATATACTGTGTTGATTTTTTGAATCGTGGCAATGGACTATTTTTAAAAATTGCCTGTGGGAGGTTGTGGCTGCCACAGCAAGCAAAATTGAATTATTCCTCACTTTCTTGTGGCTATCACAAGAGTAGGGGAATGCTCTAAAAGGAAAAAAATTAAATTTTTCTGAAGGTGGCATCTTTAAATGTTTTCTTTAATTGTCTGTTGGGCAAAGTATTTTTTGTTCTTCAAGAAGGCTTTGTTTTCTGTTCCACAGTAGAAATGCTAAAATACTTTCAGATTTTAGCTTGATATGTGTAAAATACAGTTAAAGCAAGTGTAGAATATTATATAACCCTGAAGGAGATGTTACATTAAGGAAACTAAGTCCACAATTTGTGAGGGAGGGTAGGGGAAGAGCACAACTTTCATTTAAGATTTTGTGGGTGAGGACTTAACATTCTAGCTGGCTGCTACCCAGGGAATCAGTAATGAGAATCTACAAGGTGTACACCCTGGTCTCCTTTCATAATTTGATCTTTGCTTTTGGCATTGTGCCAGAAATCAGTCTGCTTCCTTTGACTTTGGCCTCTTAGATTTTCATGTCTCTTGCACCCCTTGCTGTTTGTCAGGTTGGCTGCTACAGGTATCCTGACTGATTTTATCTTCATCATCCATTGGGAAATAGTTGGGTAAATGAAGAGTCTGATTAAGGAAATTGGGTGTGGAATTAAAGCTTGTCCCATCCTACTCTGAATGTGCTAACTGAATCTGGTAGTGGAGCTGAAATTGCCAATTGCCTGGTGTGTGTCATACCTGTCATTTTTAAGCAATCTGTTATCTATATTGATAACCTGTATTCATTCTGTTCTTATTCAGAATTTAGAACTATGAATAGTGGTCTCAAATCCTGACTAGAGAGAGCATTTTCTTCTAGCTGGAACGACAGTTTCTGTCTAAAGCATTCTAATGGCCAGAATGGGTATCAGATGATAGGGGAGTGGGTCAGCACAACTCCTGGCCCCCCTGGTGGTGGAGGACCAGGTTTCTGCTCAGGCTCTATTGATGATCATTGGAGTTATTTTCATATATGTATGTATGGCAGCTTGTTAGCTGTGCTATAATTGTTTCCTTGACTCTTGAGTAAGGTAAAGGAGTGAAATAATTTGAGGCCTTGATTCATTAAATTAGACTTGTGAATGCTGTGATTTTAGAACTCTAGGTAGAAATATTTCTGTAAATAATCTCCACTATATTCTCTTTGAGAAAATCAATTTTAAGGTACTATCACTTTGTTTAGGTTGTCAGTCATTGTCCCTGGAGGAAATCAGATAGCACAGTCAGGACTATTGAGAGGAATTTAATAAAGGGATTGTTTAAAAGGTGTGGACAGGGTTAAAGAAAAAACTAGGAAGGAATAGCAGAGCATCCCAGGACTAATGATGGCAGAGCTCACCAGTCCTAGGTTTGAAGGGGCGAGGGAGTGGGAACAAGAGCCTAGTTAGAACAGTTGTAGTGAATAGAGGGAGCAAGAGCTTTTGTCTTAGCCTTTGGTGAAGATGTTTCTGTTAAAATAAAGTCATGGGGACCAGGGCAGGTATGGAAATAAATATCCTGCCCTCCAGTTTCCTACTGCTTTCATTGGTTGTGACCCAGTCAGCAGCCGTAAGGATAGGGAGCCCAGCCCAGTAATGAAATACACGCTGGTCAGCCTCCTGCAGCGTGTAAGAGGGTGTTGAAGATGGAGTGTGTACTGAGAGAGGGAAATGGAATATGCTCAGCATTCACTAGTGACCACAGGGGCAGGAAGGTGGGTACTATTAAAAAATTGTAACAGAACCATGATTTTATAAGAAGGCAACATTAGTAAGGCTGGGTGAAGTGTATGTTAAGAACTATATACTGTTTCTGCAACTTAGCTGAAAAATCTAAAATCTAAAATCATTTCAAAATAAAGGTGTGGCACCCCTGAAAGAGGACTGCATTTATACATTCTGTAACTAGAATTACAGCCTCTTTCTAGGCTGGTAAAAGACATTTCCTAGCTATTTGTTAATAAAATATCATCGAAGTAGTATATGGGAGAACTGGATGAACAAATATAAAGAGATGTCAGTGGATATTAAACCAGGAAGCTGTCAACAGATGATTTAGAAAAGAAAAAATGAAAACTAAGTGATCTTGTTTGCCTCTGCACTGGCAGCCCTGCTCTTCACTGTTTCCTTCCTTCTTTGATCATGCTGATAAAGGAGAAGAACAAGTTGTGGGGAGGTGGGGGGCACAAGACTATTTCGCTAGGACGGAAGGACAAGACATCGGCACATAGCTATACTTGTGTCTTTTTGAAATGTGTTTTAAAAGGAGAATCAAATCATGAATTATATTCATAGCCTTGATTTAGATGACACAGTGACCATCAAAAATACTTAGTACCATCTTTGCCTGGCACACAGAAAATGCTCAGTAAGAATTTTCCTGAACAACACTTATTAACATTCAATAAATGTTTTTTTAGCACATGGTAAATGCTGGGGTACTGTGGTGTACAAGACCAAAATTATGTCTGCCCTCAAGGAGATAAAATGTTGCTAAGGAAAGGCAGGCAAAAATGAAGAATGATTAAATTAAACATTGTAGATGCTTTGAAGGAAATTTTTAAAGTGCTGAGATAGAGAAAACACTGCCTTGGGAAATTTACTTGATATCTTTGAGAACTAGTCCCTTCATGTATAAATCATTACATATACTAGGGCTGACTTAAAAATACCAAATTAGATATAATAGAATTACCTTGTTTAATTTTAAAAACCATTAAGCTACAACAAATGGAAGATAACAGAGTTACTAAAGATTTTTCTCTGCACTCTTATCTACAACTTTGTTTCAGTTAGTAAAAACAAAAAATCATTGGTACCGTGACAATTTTCTTAACTCTGGTTATTATGTAATATTTCATGACTTATAACAACATGTTGAAAATTTAAGTGATAGATCAAATATTGAACTTGACCATTGTTCAGGAAAAATCATGCCATTTGATAGACCTTAATAGTCCTAAGCAACAAATCCCACACTTTTGAGTATAATGGGCCAGCAGGGAAAATATTCAGAATGGGTGGTGAGAGTATCCACAAAGGGATACAGCTTTTAAAAAGTCATATAAATTGGAAGAAGATAATCTCAGAATACAAATTCAATAGTTTACTTTTATCATTCGACATATGGTCCTATTTTTCTCATTATGTCATAAGCCAACAAAAACTATCAGATGTGTGCTCATCCATCAGTGTTTATTGACACAATCAAAAGCAAACTTGGGGCTTCTGGTTTGCATACCCAGAAATTGTAATACAGCATTTTGCTCAGAGATGATCCGACTGGTAT